CATATAAAGCCTGCTTCGTTTCCTTTCAAACCCGATGTGGGATGCGCTGCATCATCGATGATGCGGATATATTATTATTATTATTATTATTATTATTATTATTATTATTATTATTATTATTATTATTATTATTATTTTATTAATATTTAATAAGTGTTTTAGAGAATAAGTTAGGAATTTAGTATTATTATTTAATTATAAGAGATCTTGTCTTGTTGGACAAGTTAGGATTATGATTATGAGCCTTATTTAAAGGACTCATCATCTATTGTTTTATTCAGTTGAATATTGAATGAAATAAGATATCGTATTTTCTTTTGGAAGAGTATCCCGTGTTTTGGAGAGAGTATCTCCTCGTTTACTCGTTTATCTTTCCCACTCGTACGCTTTCTCTACATCAGTTGGTATCAGCAGTCAGTACGATTCGCGATGTCGCCGGGACGAGAAGATGCTGTAAACAACCAACGTGATGCCACCTTCCACGATCGGTTTCAACAGATTGACTACCGATTTCAAGAGTTGGACGTGCGTTTCACGAATTTGTTTGCCGATCTTTCGACGGGGATCGAGGATTCGCATTTGACGCTTAACAACGTGGTTGTTTCGGAATTGCAAACGAACCGCGATGGAGCTGTGGGCCGTGGCTTTCGCGGGGGAGACAGAGGCGGTTATGGGGAAGCAACCAGGTCGGGGCGCCCCGGCAGTGGTCCCCACCACCTCTGAACGGCTTCGTGGACGGCTACGATCAACGCAACGACAAAGGCAGGCGCCAGGAGGCTGCCTTCGCCGGCGGATATCGGGCCCGACGCGATTGGGTATATGATCACGAATATGGTCCATGAGACGGCCCGTTTCGCGTGGACATTCCTGATTTGGATGGAGAACAACATGACGGACCATTGTACGACGGTCCGCCGATTTTCGATGAGGAGCCTCCGAGGCCAGAGGATGAAGCTGTAGTTGTTGCTATTAATACCGTTGTACGCTTTCTCTACATCAGTTTATAGTCGATATAACTGAGAAATTCAAGGATGATATGATAGAAGCACGAAATTACTGTTCCATCAGCACATATGAAATTTCAACTTAATCGCAACTAGATAAACTAACCCCACGCATAACAATGAACTTCAGTTCCAATACTAGAATAGAAGCAAATAGTGCAATATAATAAAAAAAGATAAAATTTATACCTGGTTCTCAACGGCCTTGGCCATGCGCTGAAATTCCTTCTTCATGACGGACTTGTTAAGCATATTGGCGGGCTTGTTCTGCTTCTTTGTCTTCGTTGTTGCAAGAAGCACGGACTGGTCCTTGCCAGGTTGAATGGTCACCGTTTTCTTGTTTGCCAGCCCTGTATATAAGAACCCATTCATCAGAAAACATCCACATACTGAAAATTAACAACAAACTCATAAATATTTGAAGATCCCCCTGCATGGAAACTCGAGAATTGGGCAAACTTCATCTCAATCCAAACTCAGACAGCTGATTTTTACTCAAAGCAAACACATTGAATGGATAAAATCACAAATTCAAAATTAATCTGGTAAATTTAAGCAAAATGAGAACAAAATCCCTACTAGCATGTAGCTGATCCTAAATCAATCTATCAAACCTGGCCAATCAGCTAATCCCAGATTACGACATTCGACCGAACACCTCGAACAGATCGAGTTAATTATAAGTTCCAAAAATTTAATCGAAACGGAAAAGAAAGAAAGAACCTGAGTACTTGAAGGAGTGCACATTGTAGAGATTGTTGGGCTCCTTGCTGAACTTGACGCTGGCAGTTCCATTACCAAACTGCTTCACCAAAAACGAATTGTTCTTCCTCACGATCTCCCATATGAGCTGCCCTGGCACCGTCGCCATTGCTAACACGCACAAAACCTTAATAATAACAAAAGCCGAAAAAAGGTTCTTTCAATAACAGCTGCAAAGGAATCGAGTGTTACCTGACAGACGAAATGAAGGTTTCTAGGGTTTTGCTGCGACGGCCTTCAGAGTTCGGACTGAGAGGATTATCGGCTTATATGAAAACAAATTTATATTGAGAACTTTTAAACCCTAGTGAAATTCAAATGACAGCAATGTCCTCATCATTAATTTAACTAATTTCGAA